ATTTATCAGGCTAGGGAGTTCAAATCTTTAAAAAGCAATAAAGTGGTCTATAACAAACCACTAAATATACGAAGGTTTTAAGAACGACTCTGGAAAACAAGAAAGTAAAACAGCACCAGTCACCTGAAGACAGAATGGATAAAATCACTCCTACTTTCTTCTGTGCTGTTACCAATTTAAAGAATACCGTTCTTAGCCAGGAACGGTGGCACATGTGAATTATAACTCAGCCCAGCCTAACTCAGCAAGAACCTGCCTCAGAATTTTTAAAAACCTGAAAAAGTCTCGGGGGATACAGCTGTGTGTGAAAACTCTGGGTTCAATGCCCAGTACCAAAACAAAATGACCCAAATCTTTTTTCACAAACTCTATCAATATACAACTCACAAACAAAAGGATGAGAGACAAATAAGGGAATACATACACATTCCTACCTACAAAATCTAGGCTCCAAAGTTTTAATAGTTTTTTAGTTTTTTCCACCATCACATGACTTACTTTGCAGGTACTACAATACAAAATTTTTCCCCCCCGTTTTTGTTTTGTTTTTTTTTTTTTTTGTACCAGGAATTGAACTCAGGGACTTGGGCTAACCAGGTACACATTGTGCCACTGAGTTACATTCCCGGCCCTCTTCCCAATCTTATAAATGTTAATAGTTAATAAAATGTACCATACACCCCTACATCAAATATGCAGAACCCAGTATTAGGGATGGACTGGATGGAAACCAACTTAAGTTTTAGCTCTAATAAAAACTGTATCCTCAACACATGATTCACTTTAGGGCTAGTCCATATCACTTGACAATGTTTATTCTGGAGGTTAGAATATCACAGGATAATAAGCAACAAAAAAGAATGTCTTCTGGTGGTCTGTTGTTGCAACAAAGATACAAGCCAATTAAATCTGAGAACTTTCACCAAGATAGCCATTCAGAAAAAAGAATAAGGCCAAAGCAGTATCATATGCCAGTATACAATCTTGCTAACTTTACTATTAGTCTTTATACACACATTGCTATAAACACTTAACATACATTTATGTTGAAATATTTACTTAAGTTAGAGGAAAGGTATCTTTCATGTTTGTGAGAAAACCTCCTAGGTTCTTTTTTTTTATTTTTGGACCTTGGACTTGTACTGTACAGGCGCAGGACCACTGAGCTACATCCTGGCTCCTAGGTTTTTAAAAAAAAAAAAAAAAGTTTTCTTTTAGGCTCTTTTATATATACAAAATTTAATGCCCTTTGACTGAGAATAAATGTGCTCTAGTAAAGTCTGCAAAGAAATAAATTTTTGTAAGGGAAAAGAAAAGTATGAAAAAAGGAAAATGCAAACAAAGTCTTTGTAAATAGGGAAGGGTGGAGGGGGTGAAAGGAGGGCAGGGGAATAGAGAAAAAAATAAGAAACAAGATACATCATGTAAAGGTACAAGATCCTAATGATGAATGTAACTGTACTGTTTACTTTAAATGTACCAATAGACTTAATTGAAAAAAAATTTTTGTAACTCCAATTCCAATAAATTTACCTTTAAAAAGTGAGATGTACTTCCATAGAGGAGGAAAGGCTGTGAGTGGTGATAGGTAAAACTTAATCTATTTGTGGAGTAAAACTCCTATGTAGCTGAAACATTTGTAGCTCCACAGGTTACTGTCTGCTTTCCTCTAGCAGTTATCTAATGCTATGTGATCCCAATTACCCTCTGAACCAGAAGAATAATTACTAATCCTCAAAGTTTCTTAATTCTACCCTCAATTATTTAAACTGAGCAGGATCAAGAATACTTGGCACAATCTAAAACAAATTAATATGACATAATCAGAAGCTGACTGATTAGAAAGATGACATTTGGGCTGGGGAGTTAGCTCAGTGGTGCTGTCCAAAGTTTGATATCCGCAGTACGGCGGGCGGGGGGTGGTACACTTAAGCTATGCATACTGGGGCATACCTGTAACCTTAAAGTCATTTAGGAAGTGTTACAACTTAGCAAGATCTTGTCTCAAAAATTTAAAAAGGGAGGGATGAGGTGGGGATGTAGTTCATTGTAAAGGCCCTGGGTTCCATCCCATACATAGGTGGGTGGGGGCATTCTAGGTACAGACCCTGCAAAAGCCAATCTTTTTTTGCGGGGGGGGGGG